TTTTTTTTTTTTTTTTTTTTTCTCTGATGTACGCAAATATGCGCATAAATAATATGGAAAATCATTTAACTTGTAAATTTGACAGAAAAAGGAGGAAAAAAAGAGGGACAGGAATTTTAAAAACAGATTTTTTTTACTGACTATTTATTAAATCAAACTTTTTGATATATATAAATATATACGTTCAAAATAGAATTTTATTTTTCTGGAATACCAAAAAATTGGAGGCATTTTAGTGAAGCTGATCGGCAAAAAAAAGGGAAAGAAAGAAAAAGAATAGGAAGACTTATCAATATAATTGTTTTTGTGTGAATATAATTAAACCTGCATCATTGTACTGCTACACTTCAAATTTTGTACTGGTCAAGTATCTTACTGACCAATGCTCAGTGTATTCACTTTAATACTACTGTTCAACATTTCCCCTCACCTCTTGTTCCTTGTTCCATTGTCATTCGAGAAAAAAAACAAAAATTCCGCTTTTCAAGTGACCTTGACTAGACTAATTGATACATTATAACAGATGAAGAGTGAAGAGATGAGAACAAAAAATTCTTGAACTTACACTAAACTGAAGACGATTATCATCTGCTTGACCGTCAAACCAAATTTTTTTTTTTTGTTCATCAAATGAATATAGCAGTAAATAATTAAACTTTTTGTTTTTGGCAAAAAAAATCAAAAGCCAGCCGATAAGATTTGAAGGGCAAATTATGAGTTATGCAAATCAGCGTCTTATTAATTTTAAATTATTTTAGACTAACAATTAGAATAACCGATATTAACAGTGTAGGGAAGTGTTTCTTTTTTCTGCTTATACTCTTCCCATGTATAAAATCAAAAAAAGTTTGTTATAGTTTAGTCAAATAAAACTATTTTTTTTTTTTTTTAGTTAGCGGATCGATCTTTGACTATACAGATGAACAGCAGACAGTGGATAAGAATCTGTCTCGAAGTAAACAAATTAACGGGTCATTAGTTCCACGGTAAGTGTTTGTGAGTGTTTTTGTTAGGTTTATGCAATAAATGTTCGGATTTTATTTATTATCCACAAAATTTTTATAACAACAAAGTTACAGGTGAAATTTCGTTGTTTTTTTTTTCTTGCAAGACAGCTGTTTTTTTTTTTTTTGTTGGTGTTGTTGGTGTTGTTGTAAAACTGATACAAATGTTTGTAAACTGTATTGAATGTTCGCTGCTGCTGCTGATTGATAAGGTGTAATGGTTGCAAAATTTTGATGTTTCAACTCTGAAGTTTCTTATTCTGAAGCATTACTGTAATTGGTGGAAGGTATGGAAAAGAATGGGATTTTTTTTTTATTGGCTCAACAAATTGTAGTTTATTAGTTTTAGTTTTACTAATTGTTGAAAAAAGGTTTAAAAGTACAAATTTTCTGAGATTAAAAAATTATCTTTAAAATTTTTGAAGAAAAAAAAAGAGAAGTTTTTTTTCCTCTTATTTACTCTCCTCCCTTTCGTTACTTCTTCTTCGCGCAATTTTTTTCCTTATTTCTTCAA